CCACAGTATTGGAAAATTCAGTACCACAGTACCACAGCACCACAGCACAAAAAGAGTAATTTTGATTTCGTTGCCGATCATTATTAATTATTTATAAAAGTGACACCATGTAGCCACAGTTGTTATAGCTCAGATGTAGCTAAAAACATTCTCCCTTCATAAATGAACCATGAAATTCTATATTATGCTTTGTAATCTGCAAAGGTTTAACACACTAACACGCCAACATTAAGAAAACGATAACAACAAATAACATTTTCAAGAAAAAAAGAAATCATGAAATACTGTACATCTCTGGAACATCATCTGTCCCTATATGCCTCCTTTTTAACATAAGCTTACAAACAGAAGGGTATACAGAATCGTACCTACCTTTTAGCCTGTAGATAAAAAATAAATTATCACACGACAGTAAGAAAAGAAAATCTTTACCTGAAGTGACCAACCTTGTCTCGTAAGCTTGTGAGTCAGATTAGCATACAAGAAGGTGTGGTGAAAGGAGTGTTTGTGCAAGAACAGGCATGAAGAGATACTGAGTAAATGGAACATGTCAGACAGTGCACGTCCTCTCCATTCTGCAGCAGAGAGGCACTTATGCATTGAAAAGAGCACACAATGGACATATACAGTAAAAACACCTGTGGCCTGGTTAGTATACCCAGTGTTCAAGTATAGCAACTCGCAATAGGTTTAGTTGATGACAGGCACTACCTCTCTCTACTACCTAGCCAGAAGGATGCTGAACCATTTTATAATTGTCATTTTAAGAAATTTATATCTGGTAATTTAGACAGGAAACAAAAGTTTAAAAGATCCTTTTGAAATTACTAATAATAGTAAGATTAAGTGAGGGACTGTATTTATTTTTTATTATTTCGTAGAATTTCCAAACACATCCCCTGAGATTTGATACACTCTACTGCATATTAATACATGCAGAGTTATAAGGGGTTTTCTGAGTAAAAATACGTGACTATGCAACCCTATTCAGAGTCTTCGAAGTCATAATACACTCCGGGGACCAAGGGGATCTGTGATAAGAGATGGACAGTTCATTAGCTAGTCATCCTCAGCCTTAAAGATACTGTAACAGTTTTGGTTGAGTATGTCAGCAATAAAACAAAAAATAAAATTCCCATTAATCTAGCTCAAATTCACACATGGAGGAAAACACATCAGAGTTCAACAAGTACAGTACATAAACCACATGACATCAGGTGAAAGGGAACAAAGACACAGAAGACATAGAGGAGCCACCAGGTTATCGTAAGAATATAAAAAAGGAATGAAAAGAGTTTTTCAGTCTCTGCTATTTTTATTCTCACCATTACCTTCACAGTTTAATTTCTCAGTTCTTTAGCGCTTACCTCGTATAGGAGTACCCTCTGAAAAGAATCCGAGTAAAAAAAGTGAGAAAGTAATTTAGAGTTTAGTTGATGATTTACAGTAATGTTATTTTTGATGTTTTTAGTGATGCCATTATTCATTAGGATTTGTTAAAGATTATTATAGGTGTTATTATTTGTTTGGAGGTTAATTGTTTTTAAAGTCTCACACTGCTGGTTTTAGAAAGGACCAAAGATTAAATGATATTATCATCATATACCTTCAGATGTCTACGTATAAGTTTTCTTTGTGCTGCCATTGACTGAAACGTATGAAAGCAATTTTAAATAATATGAAGTTAAAATACCAATTTTATCCTAATGCCACTATGACTTACGTTTTAAAGTGGACCTGCTGTAGATGCTGCCAAAATGCAAGAAAACTCCCACTAGTCTGGACATTACATCATATGCCAGCAATAAAACAACTGCCGAAACTGCTTTGTTTAAAACAACATCCTCACCAAGAAAGAAATTAAATTAATGAAATAAAGGCCAACATGTAATAGGTCTTACTAATGATAACGTCTACAAAAGCAAAACACAACAATATGAGGTCAAGAATGATATTCCCAGTCAGTTGACCTCCTTTGATAAAGGTTTTATTCTTCTTTATACTTTATAAAATTGGTCTTTTGGTACTTTTAGTAAGACACCATCATTTTACACCAAATGTCTCACTTGTTCTAAATTCGATTATTATAATTATTTTAAAGCTAACACTACAGGAATTGTAGGATGACTTGCTATTGTATTTCCTCCCCAGATCATGTTGCAGAGGCCCTAGACTGACTGGCACTGTACTGTCACGTATGGATTCTAGAATCCAAATGCAAACACAACTAAGGTGTGATATTAGAGCAGCACAGCTGCTGTTCTTAAAAACAAATCTAGGCATAAAGATAATGTAGGTAACAATATTTTTTACTTGATTTATTCTGTCATGATTTTAGAGAGAAAAAAATCAATTACTCTGAAGCATCACAACCTAATAAAAAGATAAATCTTCCATCTTCTTCTCTGTGAAAACACAGGATCCTTTTTCAAACCAGCAATCAGAGACCCACAATACTTTGGAAGGTGTTTTGTCCAGCCTTTGAGTCTCCGAAGTGTTAACATGGCATACCTTTCTAAGGTACCTGTCTTCTGAGTTCATGGGATCAATTACCCATCAATGTTGCCAAGCAACCAAAAAGGGGGATTTGAAACCTCGCTTATTAAAACTTGAGAATACCCTGGGACTGATTTGGATTCTGAAAGTTAGTTTTTTTTTTTGTTGTTTTTTTCTCAAACCCTTTTTTGCCAAAATCTTTGGCATTATTATCAATGACTCTAACAAGCAGCAGGACATCTTATGTAGCTTAAAAGGGCATTCTATATTTATAGATATTACATTATAACAAGATATGTCAAATTCCAGTTTAGTCTTTTTCTTCTGTTTGTGATCATAGCAATCACATTTAAGAGGAATTCCAGATTTCAGAACTGGCTCAATCAGTTCTACAAACACTGTGGAAAAAATTAAATAATGACTTGGCAGTACGGCTGTTGAAAATTCCACTTTGCATTTTACTGTGGAAAACTCAAGGACAGGGCAAAACACTATTAACAATTTATCTTTTTAAGTTAATCCAAGAACAAGAAGGGTGTGGGACTGTTAATTGGTTAGAATCTGAAGGCAGCAACAGTTTGGTGTTTGGCGGATTTATAGTTAGGTTCTAGTTAAAAGGTTAGGAACTAGTTAAGGTTAGGTTAGGTATTGGTTAAGGTTAATGAAGCAGGTTTGTTAGCTGGAAGGCTTATTCCCTACTGTTTCTACTAGGTATCAGCGCTGGGGGTTGAGGGAGGGGTTTGGATTTTCAAGGAGGAATATGCAGTGAGGGAGGAGGTTTTAAAAACAGGGTTGATTAAAATATTATATTTTATACCATTTACTTGCAGATACCTATGCCTTGAAACCTATTTTAAATTAACCAGAAAGTCTCCTTTTTGTAGCACTGCTGTCCAGGATCTGTATCAAGGTCACAATACAGTATTGTTCCTAGTAAATGATTAGAAACATATCAAAATGAATAGTCGGGACCAGATGAAGTATATTCAGTGTTGGCTACATAAATGATTCATAACTGGGGCCTTCACTGTTATCAGGTTATAAAGATTTAAACTTTTCCCTGAGGAGGTCAAAGGATATTTAAAACTAAACTAAAATGTTCATCTGCTTCTCTCATAAGTTCAAACAGATTTGATGCTCATTTCTTTGTTTAAAGCAATCTATCTTTTTAACAGCTTACTCTTACTCCCATATTAATTGTCTGAGATAGGCTTAGTAGATTCCAGGAGAATGAAAATGGCTTTGGGAGATCAGCGCCTCATTTTGGAAGTGGAAGCAACAAGGTTTTAGCTCTGCTGCAAGAGGGAAACTGTCTTTCTGACAGGTTTAGTGACAGATAAAGTTTGCTTAAAAGCCCCCGAGCTTTCACACGGCCATCAACGCTATTCTGCACAATCTTTGCCAGATCCAATTCGCTGGACCTCTGACTTTTATTCTTCCTCGGACAAGGCTATTTTTATCGCCTCATTGGTGCTTCTTCGCAGCAGAGATGTGGGACACAAAACTAGGCGTTACTATAAAGGGCCTGCAGTCTGGTGACTGTGAGCGTGAACACAGGAATTAGGCTGATTTCATCCCCCATCCACCCCCTGCGATGGGTTTGGCCTTTGCTTCTCAGTGGGAACCCAGCAATAGAAAACAGAACCACAGACCACTCTCACTGCCTCACCGTCCCTCAGCCTGTTCCACCCAGGACAGGGCAGACGGCTTTCGTGCACGACTGTGTGAGAATGAAGCTCTATGGGGGAATGAGATTGGACTTGACAGTGTACTGTATCTGTAATTGTTCCTCACCAAATATTTCACATGTATTGTAACAAATTCAAGTTCTAACAACTGCGCCAACCTTCCCAAGAGCTTTATCCTTGTCCAGCTAAACAAATATTTAAGTGGATTTCTGAAGTTGCTCTTTCTTAAAGTAAAAAAAAAAATCCAATACTTTTGAGGAAGTTAAAATAAAAAAAAATCAAAATAAAAAAAAATTGTCGTGATTGGGATTTCTAATTCTCTAGTGTTAAGATGTAAGCTCCTAAACTATTGTCTTTGGTATGCTGTCAAACTATGAAGTAATCTCTTTTTTTATTTTGTCAGGGGCATTCAATTTAAAGATGCCTTTCCTCTAAATTACTAATTATATTTCACATTATTTTCACAGGATTCACTCACTTACTATATCTCCTGCTCCTGTGCTGTATTGACAGACTTGAGACATTCACAGGTAGAAATACACTTGCACATAATTGAAAATATTACTGTTAAAAAATAAACAGAACAATAAACAATAAGCTTTGTCTTTTTCTAAACATTATTCAATATGTCTCAGTAAGAGTTTTATACTTTCTACTAAAATAAGCAGGTAACTAAATTTGTTGAAGGACAAAGGACAGTATTCTTAAATATGTATAAAATGCTAATTCTAAGGATTCAATATTTTATGAACACCTGTTTAGGTTTTTAATCTGTCCTCTGGACTCTTGTGCTGCTGCCCTTGGTGAGAACCAATGGAAACTGACTGAAGTTTACAAAATTACTTCTACCATGGAAAAGTAAGGAGTGCTCATTAAGTATTAGAAAATACTGAAATAACTTAACAGTCTTTTGTGAGCATATTTTTCTCAAACTTTACTCCTGTTTCCAAAATTTAACTATGATCTGTGCTGCTTGTAGCCTCAATTAAAGTGCAGCCCCTTCCACTGAAGTGCAGAATACCACTAGAAAGTAATAGCAGGGCCAGCACTTTCGGACATTACTGTTTTTCTTAATCCGTTGTATATTCAATTATGCAAGTCAAAATGAACACATTCTAGCAAGTATACAATCGTATACCCTTACATATATGACACCTAAAGAAGGCTCCACAGCCAAAACATTGTGTTTCCTTTCCTTTCTTTTCCTCATGGAATAAACCTATTCCTTTGCAGCCTACGGATGCTGACACAGCTATCTACTTGAACTCTTATATATATTGCCAATATTCTATAGATGTTCTATACTTAACATATATTGCCTTTATTCCAGTCACATATTTTAAAAAATAAACTTGTTTCCAAATTATTCTAAATTCCAACTAAAATAAGTAAATTACAGTGATGCTACTGTACTAACAGTTTTCTGGTGCTGGGAAGACAATATGTGATTCTGGGGAAAAGAAGAGTATGCCTATAAATCATATTCACGTACTGTAGATGTGCAGTATGACATCAAGCAGCAGAAAAGAGCATCTGCACAAGATTGTGAGAAGCATGTAATCTTCATAAACAAATATAATCAGAGCCAAATCTTTGACTCCATTATGGGTGAGACTCTCTGTTTTCTTTCAATTCAGTTCCTGCTTTTTCATTCTTTCATGCTGCTTTTAGAATGATACAAATAACCGGCTTGTATTGTGGGTGTGAGGTCCTCTATATTCATCACCAAGCTAGCTCCAGTGGTCAAGTGCTGGGTGATAAATGGAAAAGCACGGGGTTTCAGTCAAACCTGATAAGAGAGCTCCACTGAGATTTATAGGTTTAATAGTACCTTTATACAAGTCAAACTACAGATGAGTCCTTATGCAGGCTTGCTTGGTTAGCCTATTTGCTGGCTGTAGAGCACAAAGCCCTTGTGACAATAATTAGTCCTGGCACACTTCTGTGCGATTTCAGACTGGTCTCTGTTGTACCCTGCAGGAGAGCAGGCCTTGGAACCTAATAGTCAGAAAATGTTTAGCAAATTCAGAAGACCAGGTTGCATGGCACTGTTTCTCATTCTTAAATACAGTGCATCATTTCACTTTTGTTTAAAGGAATTGTTGTCAAATTATATCAAATCAGAGGTTTACTAGCCTCAGGATGGTTGCATAAAAAACAGCATATTTTCATATAAAAGGGATTATAAAAAGGACTATCAAGTGAATTGTTATGGCCATATGCCCCCAGTCAATCCCTTTGTTACTGGAAGACCAAATGCACTGTTACTCCAGTACAAGGGACAAAATAACTGCAGGCTGTATCTTTCTCTAAAGCTCTAGGAAATCCTACCCCAGTGTGCTTCAGTGCATTATAATGGTTTGCATTAGAGTAAGAAAAATTTAAGGACAGCACTTAAAATAGTTTTTGTCTACTGTCAAGCATCCTTACATGCTTTTGCTGACATCCATCAAGGTTATTTCATAAACCAAACTCTTGGTCCTTTAGGACTGCCAATGTACAAAGGTCCTTTTGGGCCAGAAAAAAGTAAATCCAGCAAAGTATCAAATCATCAAGCTTGAATATAGTTATTTGATTAATTTTGTTAATGTTAACTGCTTGTTACAGAGTCTGAAGATCATACAGTATGCACAAGATGACACTAGGATTTTAATATTTTTATTGTGGCCTGTTCCCCTGAAAAAGTCTACCTTCCTTGAGGTTCGGCATCTGTTGAGCAGCCGTTGTTAACTTCACTAAACTGCGTGCCATGTTTGTAATTCTATGATTGATGTGTGCACAGAAATGTGAACTGCTGAACTCTTTTCAATGCTAAACCATTTCATCTGGAGGGAGACCTCATTAATCACTGTGCCACCTCCCCAGCAGTTCTTATGAATGCGTGGGAGGTGAGTCTGTACCCTAATGAGTGAGGGATTGAAAACTGCGAATCCTGTCAAGACTGTTCCACTGGTACTTTTTCCATCAGTTTAATTTGGAGTTTTAGGAGGATCAAGGCAGCAGGCACATTCCATGTTCAGTGAGGTTTAAAAGAAACAAATGAAGTTTTATCAAGCTTTAAAATCTCATTTTAAGCAAATAAAATAGCAACATGTTTTATAGAAAATATTTCAGTCTAACCGTATTTTTTCAGGAAGAGAATTAACATTGAAACACTTCCATTTTTGGGGCATTTATATTCAGTATTCTTCTTTCTTTAAAATTTTAGCTAGTGCTGTTCAGATCAGAAATAATGATATAATAATACAGGGATGTGTTTTTAATTAAATAAAATCAGTTATTAAAATTGCTTTAAATGTCTGAATGTGATGTTTTTGGACATGTACAGTACAAATTTTAAATCTTGAAGGAAACAAGCTTTGGAATGTGCCATAAATTCAGGAATGCAATTTTTCTAAATTGTGTCAGATTTCCTGGGCTCAAGCTTTTGGATAAAACGCACATTGGGAAGGCAGAGTTAAATGAAAAAGCTTTTGGATGACTTTTTTTTTTGAGGCAGCAATTTGAATCTAGAAGCAAAAATATTTCTTGAAATAATATTTGGCTTTGGAGGATTGAACGCACTTGAATGCCAACAGCCCTCAATGAGGGGTCATGCAAAGTTCCTGTCCCACTTTGTCTATTCCTGGTCTAACTCACTTAAAGCCTATTCAAGTTTGAGAATAAAATGTCTTTATATCTTTACAATATTTATTTCTTAATTACTGAAATGGAAATGGTGACAACTAACTTCAGTTTCTTGAAAATATCTTTCCTCTTCTGCTTCTGTGTAAAGTCTAACATCACTTTAAAATTCAAACTACTCAATCAAAAAAAAATTACTGCACTTGTTACTACTGATGCAGATTTATCTAACTTTATTTAATGACTTGAGTTGGTAAAGATAAAGTCTAAGTTAATAAACACAGTTCCATTATCTGTGTGGGAAGGTCAGAATGTGTTTGAAAGCCAACAAGTAAATGTTATTGTGGTTCATATAGTACAAGTATAAAGGAGGTAGTTTATGACTATCATTAGAATTTCTGAGTACATCAAACAATGGAAGAAACCAGGCATGAAGCTTGACTTTAGCAGGTATTGACACTGTGACCTTTCAGCCCAGGACAGGCAGTGAGAGTGCAGTGTGGAGCTCTGCTGGGAATGCAGGGAGGCCAGAGAAGGGGCTCTATCAAAGTGACCGCTTTCTTTTTTTCCTGGACTGTTAGTTCAGCACTTTCAGGGAATGTTAAACGGTAGAGGTTTATCTTGGAAGTTAGTGAAAAGGAAAGAACTTAAAGGAATCAAAAAAGTGAGGGTGAGAAAGAGGCAAAGCATGCATTTTAAAAGCTGTTAAAATGCCATCTGCTTTAGAGGAGAGGGGAGTTGGTGGGCTTTTTGGTAGGTGCACTTACCGAAGGCTTCTGAAAATAATAAGGCAACACACAAAAAAAGGAAAAACAAAAGATTATATTTTAAGATAGGGGACACTGATTTCTACCAAGATATTGTCGGATGTTTTGCGTTTACTTTAGTTCAAGACTTTATAGTTTTTTAAAAAAATATTCACATAACATATTTTCAAACACATTGCATTTCTCATCATGGAGTGGATTAACCAGTTACTGTATATTCATGGGATGCTAGAGAGGACATTCCTCTAAATCTGCTTTATTACAGTCCTCAATGGTTAAATTTGAGTCACCGACCTATTTAAGAGCATTATATAATTTATTTCATTACAAATATTAACATAATTGTTAAGACAGATAATTATTGTATTCAAGTCTATAACCTATAACAAAAAAACTATTTGTTCTACTCCAATCCAATACATTAAAACAGATGGCAGAATCAATCTCCTTATTATTTTAGCAAAGATGTTTATTATTTATATTAAGTATATAATTAGTGATATTAATTGCTAGAAGGTCAAAATCATTTATCCATTTCAGATAAAACAGACATTTCTGTGTGCAATACCTACTGTATGTACAGTATGCATGTTTATTTGCTATCATTTTAATTTAAAAAATCAAATCAGTCATCAGTATAATTCAATATGATATTCAAATATTCAGTATGAAGTTAAATATGCTCTGCAGTTTCACTGTAGTTTTCAATGCATGATATTGACCTCCTGGCACACAGCACTATGTTAGTTTATTTGCAAGTATTCAGATTATTTTATTATTCTGTTTTGCTCAGTGTTATCGTTGAGGATATATTTCAACGTGTAGAATAACTGCAAGTCAAAGTTTAAGAAAAACACACAACAGAAGGACATAACCACATTAATCAGTAGAAATAAGACCAAAACGTGTGAGAAACCTTTTATATTTCATCTGGTGAGAAACGAAATATAAAATCCATAACCTTGAGTCCAGAAATGGAGTACACACAGAAACAACTGCCACTGGGGAACATCACAGAGACACACGACAACAAGACACACAGACAGCTGGGAAAGAGAACTGAACTGTCCAAAAATGAGGGTGTCATCATTGCATCAGGGATTAGGTTTCTTGCAGCCACCAAAATCCCACCAAAGAAAACCCTGACACACAAGCTGACAATTTGAATATTTTTATCTGACTAAAACCTTTGCACTTATAAAGGCCCATCCAGGAGGCTCCTCGAGGTCCGCACCCATGAGACAAGCAGAGAGAAAGAGAACCCAAAGTGTCAACTTCATGAACCTCATTGTGGATTGATGCCAAACTCTTGAACCTGGGATTTTTGTTTCCATACTTTTGATCACCACTTTTAAGATAAATACCGTATCATAAGACATATCAGCATGCACAAGTAGCTTTTCAAAATGATAATCTTTTATAATAAGACTGTGGTAACATCATAAATCTTTCCTACTTTAGGGCACATTCTTACTGGGAGCCAGCAGTAACAAAGACACTGTGGCTGATTAGGGCAATACGAATTCCAGGGCTGGAAGATAATTCAGGTGATTGCCTTTTGTCTTTCACAGTATGTTTGAAGACTTGTAAACCTATGCAGGAGGACATTCTGCAAAGCACAGTCATATAAAAGCCACAGTGTTTTGAAGTGTGAGAGTTATCCTTTAGCTGCATACTGTCCTCCGTTCAATAAATCACCATAATTCAGCATTGTACTGCTACACAAAGCAAGCCATTAATACCCTAACCCTGAAGGAGACACGCTGCACTCTAAAACTAAAACAAACACTTTTCAAGATGTGCAATTGTAGCCCAAGAGCTCTTAAATGTCTTTACAAAGAAGGGCTGGTTTACGGAAAACCACAGCTTTTTAAGTGCTTTCATTTAGTCCTATTTATTTTAACACAGAAAAACAACTCAATTTTTTTTTTATTTTAACTTTGTTTGGTTGACCTGGCTGTGCCAAAAAGTTGTAGTACTTTCCAGGTCACATCTTTTATCAGTCAGATCCTCTGGTATAGTTGGGCTACATATTGTCTCAACCTCCCATGTGACTAGAAGACAAAACTATTAAACTTCCAGTTTTAAAAATAGCTATACCAAAACCTGAAGGTTCCTGCAAAAATGGAAGAAGTATTTAAAATGCAATAAATAAAACCTATTCATACTAGACACAATTACAGCCCATTTTTAAAAGAATTAACAAACTAGAACAAGACTTCAAGACTTGGCACTTCCTTTCTGAAATGGAAAAAAAAATCTTTCTCCTTGATGAGAAAAACCAGTGAGGAAAACACATGCAGGAAGGAAAATTACTGATTTACTGCAAAATGAGTGCAGTTAAGCAAATTAAATTTCCTTAACCGATGTTCTTGGACAATTACTTCAATGTAATGCACTTGGGATGATATGCAACAAAACCTATTCCTGTAAATTAAGATTGAAAAAACCTATTATTACATGACCATCCTTTTAATACTGTCATCAACAGTTCAGACTGTTAGTTATAATGAACAGCTTCAAAGAGTTTCTAACAGAAGTATGGGAAGAGGATCTGTATGTGAAATGCTTGGCAAAAATTGAGTATGGTTTGCACTCTAAAATGACATAAAACGCGGGGCAACAACTTAAGATCAGAATGGATTTCTTCCCTCCCAACATGAGGTCATAGCTGAATCTGAAAATGGTTTCCCCTTGGTTTCTAGCAATAACAAATCACTGACCTATAAATATTATTCTCCAATGCCCCAGAGCATTGTTTTAATTAAACAGATATTTAATTAACTGTTTTAACTGTATCTTTTCATTAAAATCAATGAGTGTGAAACACTAGCATTGACTGTGCTCTAAAAGACAATTTCAGGAGAACCTAGGCAGACACTGACCAGCATCCAGCAGGTTTGTTCAATTAAACAAGCTAAAAATTCAAAATTGGAGGTTCCAGAGTTGTATGATTTCTATATCTCAGTGGTTTTCCATTCTCTCCTGCCCCTCTTTTCACAAAATCCAGGAACATCAAGACCCTGGTGGACCACAACAGCCTAAGTCTTTATTTAGCTCCCTAGGCTGATAATAAATACAATGTTAATTCAAAAGGCAGTAGAAATCCAGCATCCAGACAACATCAGAGTACCCATTCACCAGCTGTTTTTCAATATAACATGTCTCTATACTTAAGAGCATTATTTGCTAATCATTTCTGCAAAATTATTTCCGCATGTTCTGCAAACGTAGGATTTCAGATTGCGGAGAACATAAGAACTGCTGGGGGTCACCTGAGGCCATCAGAGCAGGTTGTATAAGAAACTGCACCAAGTGCAAATGTGTGTGCATGGGACACTGTTTTAAAGCAATGAAACACACAGAACACACAGAACATTTTCAGAGGACTGGCAGTATGAAAGTAAAATGTGAACATATGTATTGAAGTTACGGTATAAATATTGAAAAATGAACCTGATGTATCGGTATTCTGATGTTAGTATACACTGAGGTTTCAGAAATGCTTTGATCAACTCTCATATATTTCAACAATCCAATCAAACAAGTCTACAACTTAAACTGTTTAACATAAAGCAGCAACGTCTCCCTATACAACATATTTGATTCAAAGGAAGAATGACTCAGAGCTCCAACCCTACCTGATCTAAGCTGCTTGATTCTCCCATTACTTGCACTGGGGTCAATGGGCAGGAAGTCCTTAAACCAGGTGATTTCGGGGTCGGGGTTCCCGCTGGCAGCACACAACATGGTCGCTGTGCGAGTACGCTCCACCACCTTCAGTTGGGGGCCCATGTCAATGTTGGGGAACCCAGGAGGCAGCTGGTCCTCTGTAAAGACATCAAAGGGAAGGAAATTTGTCCCCCACAGTAAAAAAAACACATGGAAGTGCCACACGTATCACATACAGTATCATAAGAAGACTATTGCTTTACCACCTAAACTACTCATAAGCATTGCACATTTTAGTCTGGAACTTGAGACAACACCCCTTGATGGCTAACAGTAGCAAACAGCATTAGGAGAGTCTATGTTAGGAAATCTAAATATAAGTCCAACCTGTCTGCTTCCCAATAACAGTTGTAAAGAGAAGTTCATAGAGCCTAGCACTCCACCTAATTTAGAGATAGAATCGTGGATCTGGCACTTTTTTTATCACACGATAAAAGTGATGTCTAACAAACTAACAGGAACATTTTTCAATCAAAATAAGATAAGAGTCCGATTTCCTTGAAGGAGAAAAGATTATATCCCTACTGCACAACCTGTTCTGGATATAAAATAGCTTTCTCTGAAAGTGCACTAGTGAAAACACAATCAGCATATAGATCAAATTTTCTTTGCTGTCCTTTTAAGTGTATTTGAAATACATGGAAAGACATTTATGCTGTTTACACGGGGGGGGAATGAAAGTTTTCAATATATTGTGAAAACCTTAACCGTAACCCTAGTTTGAGCACTCCTACACCCTATACCTAAAGCTAGGCGATTAAGCAATTGAGTTGAATCCTAGCTCTAATAACTAAACACGCATCACAAAGGTATTATAAAAGTATTCATTTGACCTTTTTGTCTCTACTTAAACTAGCTTTCAAAACTACTGAATTATAATGCCTCTCATTCTTAGTTTTGGATTATCTCTCGTACTCTTCTGGTTTTTGATTTCTTAATAACTGGTTAATTTATTTCAATTTTCTTTTTGAGGCCTTTTTTAATTTGCTTTCAGCTCTTAAAAAGTCAAATTAAATTTCATGTTGATAGGAGCTCTGTGCTAATTAGTGAGTTTCAGCACTGTCCCCATTCAAGTGTGCGAGCAAAAATATAACCACTGGAGTCAGGCAGTAGAAAACACACCGACTCACTGTGGGAATGTTTGATACAGTGTCATCCTCACCTGTGTATGCTCATTATCAATCTATCACTAATTAAGTGCTGCTTCCTTAGAAATAAGGGAGTCAATTCTTAATTCGCAAGTTGATGAGAAACTACATAAAGGTCTATGTGCCGAAGTTGGTGTAAATGATGTAGTTTAATGAGGTTATTTAAATATGGACAATTCCAAGTTTATATATATTTCCAGAGTTAATCAATCAATGTGTGCCATTTATTTAAGATACAGAGACTTTCAGCACTGAAGAGAAGTCTTACATTTCTCAGATTAATCATCTATTAAATCAATTCAATTAATGAGAACACAGGTGGAATAAAAATCAAACCCTCCTGCAATCCACAAGAAATTGAGCTAGAGACTGGTCTAGATGATACTGACTGAAAAAACAGACATCGCTTTCCTTTTCAAGGGTTGTGCCATGAAATTCAGTGCAGACACAGGGTACAGAATGCTTTATGTCCACTTCAACAAAACTGTCAATCTTAACTCTCACAAGGAGGATTTTTTTTTAAGTAACCTGGCGATCAGGCCAAAATAAAATCTGCTCCCTGCTTGGTGCAAACAACCAAAGAGGCAAAGGTTTTGGCAGACAGTAAATGGAGAAATCTCAAGTATGATATCATTAAATATATTGTACACACATCAGAGGGGAAAAATAAAAAATCACTTGCTCTAGAGATAAGGGCACAAGCTATCAGCCTGTTCAATGAACTTAGGGATGGTATCTTCCCTGTAGCTGTCGATATTCAGTGTACATTACGTGTGGCCTGAGGCCAGTGCAGAAGCAATTAATGATAATAAGTAAAGCATTTACCTGCTAAACCACAGCAACCAATCACAACCAGGAAGCATGAAAGAGGCTTCCTGGTGAAAGACTTTCCAGTATTGGCAACACGACACCCCTTCAGCAACACAGTTTCTGTGCTATGTGTGGCTGAGTGGAATGCAAATCCAGACCCAAAGTGATCTTTTCTTTTTGGGATATACACCAAATACTCTGATGATTTCAAACTTCAAATCAGAAGAATTTTAGCTGAGCTGACTGCATTAAAAGAACCTGTAAGGCTGAGTTCAAATATTGCTTAAAATTTACTTAAAATGTTGAAAACCGAATTGAATGCCTAGTAGAGTCCTTTTACTTTGTTCTGCCCTTAGAATGTCTTCCAATTATATAAATGACATTCTCTGTAAACAAACTTGCACAACTTCAGAGCATAACTGAGTTAGTCTTTTTGCAATCAAACACCACACACCACACATTTCCTTAAGCATGAGGACTTAAAATGGACATCCATTATGCTTATAATAGATCCACAAACCCATGTCAACTATGGTTCCCTTTTTCCAGCACGTTTGAGACAACCCCAATTTTGTTAATGGTTTCATTTTTGCTTTTTTTATCCATTTATTCCCTTAATTCCGTAGAGGAATGCAATTACCAGCTGCTGCAATGAGCTTTGAAAGCTTGACATTTGGGCCACTGTGATAGCTAACCTCTCTTGGTAGCTTGCCAATGCTGAGAGACAGTTAAGCTGTGATAATAAGGGAGTTATTATTATCACTAGTGCAGGGTCTTCATCTGCAGATGAGCTGACAGGCAGGTGGATGGGTGGGTGACATGCCGAACAGTAGCAGGCACATTGTTTTTGGAACTGACACACTCATTATCCTTAATTGCCACTAATTGTCAGTGTATTATTCCATTATGCAAGTGACAGGTGCAAATCCTTTAATCTGACTGGCTAGCCTAGAAAATAGTGTTTTGGACAAATGATCACCTCTAAGAAAAAAAATATATAAATTAGTGAGTCACATGTTATCTAAATGTTTCTTACTTCTCTGATTAATACACAAATGGGATTAAAATCAGTTTCTATCTTTAAAGAATTTTCACTTTAGACTTGCTCACTGCATAAGAAACTAGCAGTTCAGATTTGTACTGATAGATCACTGTACATCTGTACTTGTATTATGACTAGTACCTTGAAATATCTCATGTACAAAGTGTTCTATTTATTAGAACATCATATATACACCAGTGGATTTTAACAGTGTAACCAGTGATGCAAGCAAACTGCACTTCATGATGCAGTAAAGTAGGGGACTCCAATCCTGGTGAAAGAGGAGAAGTGCACCTGTATAAGTACCAACAGAAAGTGCTGCAAGAAACTACTAAATAGGTTCAATTAATTAACAAAGAGATGAATTGAGATGTAATGAAAACCTGCATACTCACTACACCACTCAACCCCCTTCTGTTGATTTTTTTCCCACCAACTTTAGACACTCTCTAACCTTCAGCCACCAGATGACAAAGACACAACTGTATTATACAAGATTAAAAGATGAAGGGCAAACCATGGGGCCTTTCGAGTTTACGCCAACTGCATGTGCAGAATTCCATTTCTGCACGTCTTATTATTATTACTTTCATTATTTTCATTTTCTGGAGCGAATTAATTTCATTAGCATCATAATCTGGTTAACAGATTACCACTGACAGAAGCCAGAAAGGGGCTTTAAATGATAACAGTTAACATTGCTAGGAACAGAGGTCAAGAGAAGGGGTAGAAAGGAAAAAAAGAGCATTAAGATAGACTTTAAATAAACAGACATTTAACTAATCTAGACGCACAGCTGTTTGGGCTCCAGGGATGGTCAATTTCATTTACTCTTCTGAGCCAGGAGCAGCTCAATTAGAATAATTGATGGGCTCAGCCAGAGGGAAGAGGCAATCAAGCCTGCCGTCACTATGGAGAGACTCGGACTCTTGGGATCCAAGACCTGATAACCTTGGACAGTGGCAGTGTTGTTTTGTCAAACAAGAAACTGCCAGTTTCAATGTGACCCAACCTCTTAAATATAGCAAGCCTGTCCTATGGAAAGAGACTTGCATTTACTGGATATGTTTGCTCCATGCATGTTCAATACTGCTGTTCTTTAGGCTAAATACATAAAATGGTGAATGCATCTAGCTCAAGAAATATTGGTCAATATCTACCAGGAGGTACAGTATTAGTAAAAAACGCTTTCTCCTCTGTTCTGTCCTGGACTGTCACAATGAGGGTCATTCTTGAAATTCCATGGCAGAAACTCTCTCTCACTGACAATGCAGGTCAGGTCAGAAGTGATGCCTAATGATGCCTCTCAACAGCATCATGTCTGATTGAACACTGTAAGTAAGCATTCAGCTGGAATGAAAGACAACAAACACTGTAGTCTTATACCCCTGGAGCAAACCATTGCTAAGTGTGCTGTTACTTTTTTTTACTCAATCTGACAAGAGATGTTGCTGAAGGACTGAATCCAAGAAAACATATGTATCAATAGTGATAATGACTACTAACATTGAGCATCTATTCGGTAACATTGATTTTCTGACACTGCACAATGTACACAGTGTCTCGGTAACATTGAATGAAACATTAAAGTTTTCTCCTTAAGCTGAGAGAGTGACAATGGCAAATGTGTGATTCCTGCAATCAGCAGTGAAGGCCATCTACCATACTCTGGCAAGTCAGTGAAAATGAACTAAGGAGTAGCAGAACATGAGTTGGGAGCACCGGTGAATCACCAAGGGGTGGGGTTATCTCATTTAGGTGAGCAACATTCTTCAAATTCTCATGAGGAAATTAGTGAATTGGCTGCAGATGAAATCTCTAGCTCCCTACAAAAGCACTTCCTGAGGTAGTCAGAAGTGTTTTTTTTTTACACAGTCTCTCACAGTTTAGAAGAACAGTTAGCATTTAAAAGAAGAGATGGTGGTTAGAGAGATCTTCTTGAACAAAAATCACAGAAAGATTATGGCTGGGTAATACTGGTAGCAACCTCGTTTTTTTTCCGGGTCAGGATGCCGGTAAACAAGAAGGTGGTTAATAAGTGCACCTGGCCAACCGGAATCGACCGAGTGAGGCTCTTGCCACTGCTATCCATGGAAGA